AGATTGTTTCTTGGCTTCCCATCTTCTCTCCAATTCTGTAAGGAAGAAAAAAGGGGCAGCTTGTTTTGAAAATCCAAATCTTATCTGGGTCAATTATTGCTTGTTGGAAGATAGAAAGAGGTAAGAACTGAGCATAAATGAAAGAGGAAACTCTTTTCCTGGAGGCAACATAGAAGGCTGAGCTTAATCCTGGCAAACGAATTAGTAGCCACATCCAGGTCATCGTCCTGCACAGAAATCCTGCACAGAATCCCCCCTGCGTGAGAAATACTTCCCTAGAGGCTGAGGAGAAGGGGATAAAGAGTAAGAAGAGAAAATAATTCCTCCCCTTCCTCCTGCAAAAGGATGAGACTCCTGTCTACATTACTAGAAGGTGGCCTTTCAGATCAGTGTCACAGTCCACCAAAGGACCCTGGGAGGAATTGGCAAATCAGTCAGAAGCACTAAATAGAGGAGGTGAATGATTGGTCCCCAGCCTAGGGACAAACTTCTTGAAATTTTGTCTTCTCTTTCTGTCTAAGTAATAGTTGCCATTCAACTGAGGGGAGGTGATACCAAAGATTTGAGCAAAGGATGCTCCATGTCACCGTGACATGCCCTACAATTTAGGAGACAGGCCAAACTATTTGGAATAACCACATGGCCACTTCTCAGATTATTAACTCTCTGAGCCAGTTTCCTCCTCAGCAAAATAGTGGAGTTTTTTGTTTATTTTATTTTAAGACAGAGTCTCACTTATCACCCTTGGTAGAGTGCTGTGGCATCATAGCTAACAACAACCTCAAACTCTTGGGTTCAAGCAGTTCTCGTGCCTCAGCCTCTCCAGCAGCTGGGACTACAGGTGCCTGCCACAACACCTGGCTATTTTGAGAGAGGGGTCTCACTCTTGCTCAGGCTGGTTTCAAACCTGTGAGCTCTAGCAAACCACCTGCCTTGGCCTTCCAGAGTGCTGGGATAACAGGCATGAGCCATTGTGCCCAGCCTAGCAAAATAGTGTTTAAATATCTGCTTCAAAGGCTGTTTTTAAAGACATCAGATACTTTTCAAAACTCAGCACAATTCCAGACACACTCTGCTCCCCTTCCCCTTCTTGTTAACCATCCCTGCTGAGTATAAAGGAATAGCATGAGAAAAATGTTCTCTATGTTCTAAGACTGAGAGAGAGAAACAACTGCCAAAACTCTAAAGATATTTGCAGCAGTTCCAGAATTTGTGAAATAAGAGCACCTTCCAATAGCCCATCCACTTCCAATTCTGAAGATCCTGCCCATGACCAACCACTAGGTACATCCACCAAAACTAGATTTTCAACTCTTGCTATTTACCTAATTCCCTTAAAAATACAAGATGGCGGCTCAGAGCCTGTAGCTCAGCAGCTAGCACACCAGCCACATACACTGGGGCTGGCGGGTCCGGACCCGGCCAGGGCCTGCCAAACAGCAATGACAACTACAACAACAGCAACAACAAAATAGCCGGGTATTGTGGCAGGTGCCCGTAGTCCCAGCTACTTGGGAGGCTGAGGCAAGAGAACTGCTTAAGCCCAAGAGTTTGAGGTTGCTGTGAGTTGTCATGCCACAGCACTCTACCCAGGGGGACAGCTTGAGGCTCTGTCTCAAAAAAAAAAAAAAATACTACATTTGAATTTCATATGCAATCTTCTGATGGTTAAATTCAACAATTTTCAACTTTATGAAGGTATAAAAGCAAAATACTTTCATAGAAACCATACTTCCAAGTACCTATTGACCATTCTGGTTTTCACTTTTAGTATTATATTTAATTAATTACATGAGATATTCAATACTTTATTATAAAACAATCTTTGTGTGGTTGTGTAGATGTGTAGATGATTTTGCCCAACTGTAGGCTAATGTAAGTGTCTGAGTACATTTAAGTTAGGCTAGACTAAGCTATGATATTTGCTAGGTTAAGTGCATGTTAGGTATATTAAGTGTATTTTCAACTTGACAATATTTTCAGCATACAATGGGTTTATCAGATGTAACTGTACATTTTGGAAAGAGAATGAAGGATCAGATGGCTTGGCTCGGCTCGGCACCTATAGCTCAAGTGGCTAAGGTCCCAGACACATACACCAAAGCTGGCAGGTTCAAATCCAGCCTGGGGCTGCCAAATAACAATGACAACTACAACCAAAAAGTAGCCAGGCCTTGTGGCAGGCACCTGTACTCCCAGCTACTTGGGAGGCTGAGGCAAGAGAACCGCTTAAGGCTCAGCGTCTACAGCTCAAGTGGCTAAGGCACCAGCCACATACACCTGAGCTGGCGGGTTCAAATCCAGCCCAGGACCGCCAAACAACGATAGCAACCAAAAAATAGCTGTGGGGCGGCACCTGTAGCTCAGTGAGTAGGGCACCAGCCCCATATACTGAAGGTGGCAGGTTCGAACCCGGCCCCAGCCAAACTGCAACAACAATAACAAAAAAAATAGCCAGGTGTTATGGCAGGCACCTGTAGTCCCAGCCACTGGGGATGCTGAGGCAGAATAGCTTAAGCCCAGGAGCTGGGGGTTGCTGTGAGCTATGATGCCACAGCACTCTACCAAGGGCAACAAAGTAAAACTCTGGAGTTGGAGGTTGCTATGAGCTGTGATGCAGAGGCACTCTACCCAGGGCGACAGCTCAAGGCTCTATTTCAAAATAAATAAATAAATAAATAAAAATAAAAGAAAGAGAATCGCTTAAGCCCAGGAGTTAGAGGTTGCTGTGAGCTGTGATGTCACAGCACTCTACCCAGGGCAACAGCCTGAAGCTCATCTCAAAAAAAAAAAAAAAAAAAAGGGTAAGATGGCTTGGGATATAAGATACGCAAAAAAAAAAAAATTGTACAAGAACTTCCTTCATCTCTCCAGAAGGGCCATTTACATAAACCATCACTGATACCTCCCCTTTCCCTGGCTTGCTCCTAAAGCAAAGGGATCACACTCTATTTGTTCAAACTAGATTCCCCACCCCCACCCACACACACACACATCCACCCCCGGCTAAGGGCCCAGAGACCTAGAAGGCAGAACACTAACAAAGACTGCTCTAAACAACTCCACCTAGCCCTTTGTGATGGTAACTGTGGCATTCATCTTAGCACCCTAACTGGCCTTCCAGACTGAAAGTTGCAGGAACCATTCTTTGATTTATAAGATACCTAACAGAGGTTCCCACCAACCTGATGGACAGTTAGACTGTGATAACAGAACCACCAGTAATTTCAAAGTAACTTTCAATGTTCTCCTAATCAGACATTAAAATAAATAAAAAGGTAAACACTCTCCTGCCTACACTGACGATACTACTCCAGGAGAACATAATAAACAAAATTAGAGTTGCCCCCTCTGGAAATACAGTCCAAGACCCCCAGTGGGTGTCTAAAACCAAAGATGATGTTGAACCCTGTGCTTACTATGCACAACTTTCCTTTTCCAGCTTCACAATTTCAGGAATAGAAGATACATTCTTACCATAGATCTTACCAACCTCAGCACATAATTTTTTTTCTTTCCTTAAGTTGCCAGCTTTCAGGTTTTCACTTAAAGGAAGTACTTTTCTTTTTGGCACTTTCGAACTGCCAACATCATTACTCTGGAGCTTTAATAATTTGCTTAATTATTAAATAAAGTAAAGGTGACTTGAACACAGCACTTTGAAATAACAAAATTTAAAGCTTATGAATTGTTCATTTCTGTTATTTTCCATCTAATATTTTTGGATTGCAGTAACCATAACCATAACCAAAGCAAGCAAAACTTTGGATAAAGGGGGACTACTGTACTCAGACCTACTGCATTTATACAGCTTTCAAGAGACAAAAGACTTGATGAGTTTCCTTGGTCTTTTGTTTTCTTGTTTTTGTTTGCTTGTTTGTTTGTTTGAGTCTCAAGCTGTCACCATGGGTAGAGTGCCTTGGCATCACAGCTCACAGCAACTTCAAACTCTTGGGCTTAAGCAATACTCTTGCCTCAGCCTCCCACATAGCTGGAACTACAGAAACCCACCACAACACCCAGCTATTTTTTTTTTCTTTTTTGTTGCAATTGTCATTGTTGCTTTAGCTGGCCTAGGCCAGGTTCGAACCCGTCATCCTCAGGGTATGTGGCTGTCTCCCTACCCACTGAGTCATGGGTGCCGCCATGAGTTTTCTTTAAAACATGCCAGTAAAGCGATGCCACAGGTGAGTCTGCCACTCCAGGACCTGCTGGTCTAACACTAGCCAAACTGGGTCCTTCCTGCGGTTTTTTGAGCAAGATTTCTCTCCCCTGACAACTGGAGAAAGTCAATGTATCAAGAGGTAGCCGTAAGAGGTCAGAGGAAGGCAGGGCTGAAATCAAGACTCTTGAGTGAAACTTTTGCATGATCACATCTTGAGCCTGTTCTCTCATCTAAAGAAAATAGATCGTGAGGACTTTTTTTTTTCATAGCCCCTAATAAACAATGGCATGATCCTAAGGATTAAATGAGGTGATGCAAGTAACGCTTCCCCTCCCCCCATGCTTGCTAATTGGGAGCTATTCTTATTGGCAGGCCATGCAGAGCGGTGAGTGAAAAGCCAATGTGACTGCAGCAAAACTCCAACTGTGAACAGAATTCCATTCCCAAAAAAATCCAAGAAGCCCTACAAACTACAGAAACTGAATCCCTGGGAAGAATAGTGCCTCTCCACCCATTCTTGGCCACTCCATCCCACACACTTAGGGATACTCGCAGAACATCCTGATGCACAAGTCAGTGCGTTTCCAGTTCCTGCAGCGCCTAGAAGCTAAGGTTGTATTCTCTACAAGTATTTTACAGATTGAACCTAAATTACCATTCTTTAGTGGTAGTAATTATTAACTTTTTTAAAAAACTCTTTACAAAGCAATTTCGCTTAGGTATGGAAGAGCCCAACTCTGTTCATTCTTATCCTGTACGTCCAGGCCTGTTACAGCTTGTAAGTAACAGGGAAAGTGAACTTCCCCTAGATGATTAAGAGAGTCAGTCACCCACGCACTCTCCTTCCAGCTCAAAAATACCGACAAAGCGAAGCTCGATAGATTCCACCTCCCCTAAAATGCAGAAGATAGGATTCGAACTACCGTACACCCAAAAGAAGTCCCCCTATGACTCACCGCTGGAGCCCACCCGGTACGCACACGCTTCGCAGCCGCAGGCAACAGAGTGGCGCTAAACCTGCAGATACAAACTCCACCCTCACCCAATCAAAACACCCTTCCCCACCGCCTGACCAATGAGGAGAAGCAGAAGTGTCCTCAAGGCACAGCCTCAAAGTTTGCTGGGAGTTGTAGTTTATAATGCAGAGCGGAACACTGCATTCAGGTTTCCCTTGGGTGATCCCGCCCCTCTCAATTCCTCAGCCAATCATCAACGTTAGTCTCATCAGCCGCTTTCGCCGCTTTTCCCTGTAGCGGGCGACTGCGGCGATATAGGCCGCTGACCAGATGTGGAAGGGGAAAGGGGGAGCTTTGCTATGGATGTGGGGGCTGAGGCCGACAGGGGTCCCCGGAAAGAGAATGCTAAGCTACGATGCTGCAATGCAGGCAAGAAACAATTCACCCCGATGTTGGAACTGTGGCAGCCCTGGGGGCCCTGGACGAGGGGACAGGTTCTTCTGCCCGCAGTGCCGCGCCCTGCAGCCGCCTGACCCCAGTCGAGATTACTTCAGCCTCATGGATTGGTATGCGTGACGATTTCAGGAAACGGGCCGAGGCGAGAGAGATGTCAGGGGCTGCCCTACCGAAGGGGAGGGTATCAGATTGGGATTGGAAAGGAGAAAGCGGGACTGGTAAAATAGGGCGGAGAGAGAGGACGTTGAGGGGCGGGGACTGAGGCGAGGGCCGGTGAGGGACTAAATGGGACTGGGGGAAGGGGGCCTCAGATGCTACCTTGGAGAGGGACTTGAGGGGTGGGACTTGGGAGAGAGGAAGTTTGAGGATAGGAACGGAAAGGTTTGAAGTTAGGTTGAGACTTTTAAGAAAGGAGTATTGATCTGTGATCTAAGGTTCTAGAGAGTAAGAGCATGAAAGACAATTTTGCAGGTCAAGCTTAAGGGAAAAGTGGGAATTGGACGGAGCAGGTCCAAGAAACGGCGTTTTTTCCTCTCGGGTGGAATAATTGGATAAGTGGAGAAGCATGGGCAGGGCTAACTGGTGAAGAAATACAGTAGGCTCTGGGAATAGAAAGCGATGGGTGGGTGGATTAAAATAAAGTGGTAGACAGGGATGTGGGATGTCTAAAGACAGGATGGTGTTAAAAAAAAATATTCAATGACACTTGTTAAAGCACAGGAAGCCTTTCTTCAGGACCATATATATATCCATAGGTAGAAGGACCACTGCAATAAGGTTCTGAGGTAGGGGAAAGAGATTGGGGTGAACTCCAAATACAGTATGGGCAAAAGGGAATGTATAACCAAAGATTAGAATCGGGGTCTGTGGATGAAAAATTACTAAAAGGAAATATTATGGGTCGGGGTGATTCTGCCTAAACCTGTCTCATAGTATTCTGATTGAAGACAGGCCAGAGTGATCATACATTACCTGGGTGGTGGAGGAGTTTGAGGAACCTGACCAGATACTGAGGATGACCAAATATCCAGAAGGGCAGGTTCTGTCTAAACTGACTTGCAGGGTTCTTTGCTAAAACTGGATTTTTCAAGGAAGTGACAAATGGGCTTTAGAAAAGCTTCAGAAGCCTGTCTGAAGTTTGGCCAAGCAAAGAGTCTGTTATGGGTTTCAGGAATGCCTCTTCTTTTTTTTTTTTGAGACAGTGTCTTACTATGTCACCCTTGGTAGAGTGCAGTGGCATCACAGTTCACAGCAACCTCAAACTCTTGGGCTTAAGCGATTGTCTTTCCTCAGCCTCCCAAGTAGCTGGGACCACAGGCGCACGCCACAATGTCCAGCTTTGTTGTTGTTGTTTAGCAGGCCTGAGCCAAATCCCAACCTGCCAGCCACTGTGTATGTGGCTGGTGCCCTTGTTGCTGAACTATAGGCACCAAGTAGCCTCTTCTCCTTAACTGTGAGATCCACCCCACCTGTCACTGAGAACTTATGATAGGCAGCTATAACACTGATCTTTAAGTTCTTCAATGTCCCAACCTAGCTCCCACTTCAGTCTTTGTATTTGCAGTTCTCTCTACCTAGATTCTCAGAGGAAGTTCTCTTTCCTCTGATCATCATCATTCAGGTCTCAGCTCAGATTTCATCTCCCACCCTCTCTGACCCTATTCAGTTCCCCTTCACAGCACCTAACACTTTTTGGTATTATGTTTGGTATTATGTTTGATTGCATCTTCCTCATAAGAGCAGGGCCCATGGTAGACAAATCTATAAATATTTGTTACATGAATTTCATCTCCTAATTTCCTTCTAGCAACCGTTCCTTCAGAGTTGACACCACAAAACTTCAGCACAGGTATCAGCAACTACAGCGTCTTGTCCATCCAGATTTCTTCAGCCAGAGGTCCCAGGTAGCTTATTGGCCATCCCCAATAATACTAAACACTGGGTGGGGTGGCAGTGGCCCTATAGTTATGCAATTATCAGAGGCAGAGCTGAACAACCAGCTCCACCCTGTGGCACCTTGAGCCCAGCAGCCAGCCAGACCCCAGAGTTATCATTTACTCACATCTTTTATCTGACTTCCCAGACAACTCAGAACAATCAGCTGAAAATAAAGACACTTCATCTATCTCCCTAGCTCTATTTTAGCCATTTCTTGCCTGCCTAGCATTTTATGAAAGTTTGTTGATTTAAGCTAGCCAATCTGGATGGTAATAAGACTGTCTTCATCTCTACTAACAGACTGAAAAGAACTTCTCAGAGAAGCATTCGACCCTGGTGAATGATGCCTATAAGACCCTTCTGGCCCCCCTGAGCCGGGGACTGTACCTTGTAAGGTGATTTCCCAACCCTTCTATGTGTGACTTGCTGTGCCCATTGTGGTACAGGAGAGCTTCTTCCCCTATATTCAGCAAAAGAGTGTTTGAGACCTCTTTGAGTCCAGGGACCCAATGATACTTAGCCTCAAAAATACAAGTTTAGTTTTCTCTACATAGTCTCAGTAATCTGAGTATATTCAGTATTCTGAGTATTCTTTGTAATTCTCATTTTCCCCAAAAGCATTTTTAAAACCATTTTCTATGAATTCCAAGGATTTGATGATGATAGATTTTAGGAGAGAGTACTTTGGGGTTTGTTTTGCTTTTTTTTTTTAGGAGTGTATTAGAATCCAGAAAAATTTTAGAATTGAATAAAATCTTTACACATCTGGTTCAGCCTCCACATAGAGTTCAGCCTTTACACATCTAGTTCAGCCTCCACATTGACCCTTGACTACCCTAGGGTCACACAGTTTGGTGAGCACAAATGGAATACTATCCCAGCCCTTCTATCTCAGTCCAAGCTTTTAACACCCTACCCTTACTCTTTTATTATTGAGACACCTCCAGTTTTCTCCTGAGTGGTATTATGCTCTAAAGAATGAGTAGGATTTATATGACTCTGGCCTTACCTTCTTGAACTTCTTTTTCTTGTTTTCTATCACAATAGCTAAAGCTACGTGGAGTACAGATTTCTGAAGGAACAGATGATGAAATGGACAGGCAGTTCCTCATGGAAATAATGGAAATCAATGAAAAACTTGCAGAAGCTCAAAATGAAGCTGCCGTGAAGGAGATTGAATCCCTTGTCAGAGGTAAAAAATAAAATACCACTGAATACATTTTATTGCTATTATGAGCACTTGGCCATGGTTAAGTGAAAAATGAAAGCAAGAGTGCATATTTGTCATCATAATGATTATGTATTTTTTTTAAGCATACTAAAACAAATTTTTTCTGGAGGTTACACTTCCAGCATCTCTAACCTTATTGGAGACAGCCTTAAACCAGGAATATAGTCATATTTTACACATTGCAATGATATGACATCTTTTTGATATTATTGTCTCTAACAAAAAAATCGGCCTCAAAAGTTAATGGAAATGCCCAAGGTCACACAACAGATAAGCAGCTGGGCAAAGACTGAAAACCTGATCTTCTGATTTCATAATGCTTTGTTTTCTACTTCATTCCGTGATTTATCAGCCAGGATTCTCCAGAGAACCCAGAGGATGGATGGATAGTTAGATGAATGGATGGATAAATATTTTAAGGAATTAGCTCACATGATTGTGGGGGCTAGCATTCCCAAATTTATAGGGTGGGCCAGCAGGGTGGAAATTCTAGTAGGAGTTCTGTGTTACGGTCTTGAGGCAGAATTCCTTCTCCAGAAAACCTGTTTTTGTGCTTAATGCCTTTACTTGATTAGATGAAGCCTACCCAGATCACCAAGGGTAACCTCCTTTATTTAAAATTAACTGGCTTGGCTAGAGCAGCACCTGTGGCTCACTGGGTAGGACGCTGGCCCCATATACCAAGGGTGGCGGTTTCAAACCCCACCCTGGTCAAACTGCAACAAAAAAAAAAGGGCGGCGCCTATGCCTCAGAGGAGTAGGG